TTGGATGAGTAGGTGTTTTGTCCGTATATCAAAAGAGCACGACAAATCTTCAGAGGAAAATTGTACATGCTCTCACTCTTTTGCAAAGATAAGAACATTTCTCTTACCAAAGATGTTCTTGGATCCCTCTAAAAGACACCACTGACCAAATATTCAGAGGAAGATTTTACCGTTCCACCAAATAAGAGACTAGATAACTTTAACTGAAATTATTTCACAAGATTCCTCAATATATTTACTCAAGCTCTGTTTGGTTAGATAGAAATAAGTAAGAAAAGAAATGAAATATAAAATGAAAGAAAAATGAAATAAATGAAAAGAAAAGTCATTTTCTATCGAGCATGAAAATTTATTTAGGAAAATTGTATGAAAATATTAGTTTGTTAGTTTTGATAGCATGAAAATGAAAATAAAGTAATTGTGCATATCAAAATTATCCCTATGATTTCAAATACTAAAAAAATAAATAAATTTGTGTTTGATGATGTCTATTTTTATCAAAGTTTTAATAAAATGATGAATTATTAAATTTAATAATATAATTATTTATATTGTTTAAATTAAAACAATACTTCAAGATTTCTTAAGTAGAACCGTAGAAGTAGAACTAACTACTCATTTAAGAGAAATAAGAAAGCTTAAAAATAAAAAACAAAATTAAAAAAATTTGGGCTCATAGACTCATGGGCTTTCAATCAGAGAACACAAAAAGAGCAAAATATATATTATTCTCTATATATATATCAGATACAATGTATATATTTGGAACCCAAAAAAAAAAAAAAAATATTTCGTCCAAATGGTATTGTAAGAGAACATGTTTAGAGAGAACTTGCCTTCTAGAAGTCCAATAAAATAGAAATTGTTAGATAATTTGGCTATTTGAAAATCAATTAGAAAAGAAAGAAGTTAATTGTTTTACATGATTAGTTGTTGGATAAAATAGGAACTTTAAACAAAAACAAGTAATTTTTAAGAGAAAATATTATTTTCTCGTGTGAGAAAAGTTTTGGAAAAAACTAATCTAATGCGGCAAACTATATTTTATATTACGATTCTTTTTCCATCTATCCAAAGGAAATAAAAAAATTTAAAAATTTTGTATTTGCTTTCTTTTCTAATTGATTCCATCTAACCAAACGAGAAGCCTCATAAAAAGTCAGTTGATTTTCTAAATTAGAACCCACATAATGGGAGCCCTCTAGCCCCCTAATTTTAAATCTTCTAATTAATCATATTTGAATAAAATGTTCGAAACTTCAGAGTTGTGTAACTGTACAAATATTATTTTCAGTCTTTTTTTTTTTTTCTTACTAAATATGTATACAAAAGAATTTAGGGAAAGAAATCATGAAATTATCAATTAAAAGTCATTTAATATATTATCCTCTTATTAAATTCCAAGCAAAGGAATCATTCAATTCATGAATGCAACAGTATTCACCTATGCAAGGTGAAGTTAAAAATAGTGTATAATGAGACTTTCTGTGTCCAGGCAGACCAATTATTCGGGTTTTTGGAGTTAACAGATCGTTACTCTTTTTCTTAATAAAAGATTTTTTTTTTTTAAACTCATTTATTGTTACATAAAGTTGCTCGCTAACACCTATATAATCTTTTCAATTCTGACTTAAAAGATGAGACTATCAAACTGTAAAGGGTACTGCACCATTCAATATGCCCAATAATTAAAAAAAAAGAGCTAATAATAAGGAAAAAAGAAATTATAGAGTTAGACACTATCAAATGTATAGGGTTTTACTTTTGTATACAGAGAAACTACTTCCTTGTTTTTGTGTTTTTTTTTTTTTCGATAATTTACTTCCTTGTTTTAACCTGTGGCGAACAAGTCATAGTGGTGCCAAGACTCGCCCTTATCTGATAGAAGAAAACTAATACATTATACAGAACATTCAGCCATTTACACACACAATTACATCAGTCAACACTGAAACATTTGCAATTACTGCAATTAATGGGTTTGTTTGGAAGCTCAATGAGGCAGATGATGTATTGATACGTCTACATTTGTCATTTTGTTCCTTGAGAAGCCTCAATCAAGTATTGGCAAATCCAAGGTTAGTATTATCTTATTGGATTAATCTACTTTGGTCAAAATATCTAACTCTCATGCAATATCTCATCTTGGAATAAACTACAATGGTTCTTTTCATTTGTTTTCTTTTGCAGATAGAGTGAAATGCATTTTATATTTTTCAGTTGTACCATATTGTATTATTAATTAAGTATAAAATACACAATCAAAATTTGAGGGAAGATAACATGCAAGAGTAAACATGGAAAATGCTAAGAAAGTGGAAGAAAATTACTAGGGACTAACATTCTATTGCATTTCCTTGGCCATTCAGATTCATTTTATGTTACATATGATCTTGGAACGTATAGAGTGCGAGTACGCATTAATGAGTCAGAAGTGTCAAATTTTCAAAAATAATTAAGATGCATGAACATGACTAAGTACATATTATTTAATATTTTTATTTTAATTTCTAGAGCAAAATAATGTCTTTATGTAACGAAGTGTTTAACATAGGCATTTCAATCATTTTAAAGCAATAATATAATAAAATTGATTTATTAGACATCTTTTATAGGTGCATGTTTAGCCACTATAGAACACATATATAATATCAACGTTTGAGCAATGTACTTAGGACAAAGATATATACTTTACCTACTTTTAAAGAGTACATGTAACATAGATCATACATATACATTTCCCCTTCAAACAACTATGATTTAGTTTCGGCCATAATGTGCTAATCAATGGAACATTTTCATTGAACAAAACAGGTGATGACAACTTAATTAATGTCATTATTTTCATTAATTAATTCTGTTACACAAACTTTAATCCGCATTATGTTCTTCTCTTTCAGAAAATAAAAGTTGGTGGAAAATTTGTAGTCATTGACTACATGATTATGAGACCAGATCACAACAATATGTGATTTTCTTCCTTCAGTAGCATTTATGGTTATAAAATAGCATACCTCCTTGTAAGTAAACATAAAGAACTATTCAGGGTTCTATCACATAGTGGCTATATTTTCCTCTCCCTCTCCAGCCTTGTTTCTAAATTACATGCAATGAAATTTTTTTTTTTTTTTCTTAATTAAATTAACATGATCATGCATGGATGATAAAGAAAACTTTTTTAAATGACTTCACGAGAAGAGCTGATTGTTGAACACACACACACACACACACATTATGTATTCATGGAATAAATTAATTAACAATGCCATCAACCTCTTTTCACACCGTCAAAAACTAATTTAATTTTTAAATAATCCTGTCAAGGAATCACTTTCACTTGACATGAAACGCATTGAACTTATCTGTGCACCTAGTTTGAGGTTCATGAGAGACTGGGATATATCATACCCAAACCTGAAAAGAACTAAAATTGTGTACAACTTACACTTGCCATTTTGTTCCTTGAGAAGCCTCAATCAAGTATTGGCAAATCCAAGGTTAGTATTATCTTATTGGATTAATCTACTGTGGTCAAAATAACTAACTCTCATGCAATATCTCATCTTGGAATAAACTACAATGGTTCTTTTCATTTGTTTTCTTTTCCAGAGAGAGTGAAATGCATTTTATATTTTTCAGTTGTACCATATTACATTAGCTAAGTGCAAAATGCACAATCAAAATTTTAGGGAAGAAAAAGAAGAACCATTGTAGTTTATTCCAGGGAAGAAGGGACTAACATTCTATTGCATTTCCTTAGTCACTCACATTCATTTTATGTTACATGAACTTGGTACGTATTGAGTGCGTGTATATATTCATCGGCCAGACATGTCAAATTTTTAAACAAAAAGATATGTAAACATAGCTAAATACATATTATTTAAAATATTTATTTTAATTTATGTAACATAGTGTTTAACATAGGCATTTCAATCATTTTAAAGCACTAATATAATAAAATTGATTTATTAGACATTTTTTTATAGGTGCATGTTTAGTTACTATCGAACACATATCTAATACTCACGTTTGAGCAATGTACTTAGAACACAGATACTGTACCTACTTTTAAAAAGTCCGTGTAACATAGATCATGCATATACATTTCCCCTTCAAACAACTATGATTTAGTTTCTGCCATAATGTGCTAATCAATGGACCATTTTCATTGAACAAAACAGGTGATGATCGACAACTTAATTAATGTCATTATTTTCATTAATTAATTCTGTTACACAAACTTTAATCCCCATTATGTTCTTCTCTTTCAGAAAATCAAAGTTGGTGGCAAATTTGTAGTCGTTGACTACATGATTATGAGACCAGATCACAACAATATGTGATTTTCTTCCTTCAGTAACATTTATGGTTATAAAATAGCATACCTTGTAAGTAAACATAAAGAACTATTCATGGTTCCATCACACAGGCCACAAATGTCGACATGGTGGCTAATATTTTCCTCTCCCTCTCCAGCCTTGTTTCTAACTTTCTATGCAATGGAGTTTTTTTTTTTCTTAATTAAATTAACATGATCATGCATGGATGATAAAGAAAACTTTTTTAAGTGACTTCACCAGAAGAGCTGATTGTTGAACACACACACACACACATTATGTATTCATGGAATAAATTAATTAACAATGCCATCAACCTCTTTTCACACTGTCAAAAACTATTTTAATTTTTAAATAATCCTGTCAAGGTATCACTTTCACTTGACATGAAACGCATTGAACTTATCTGGGCAACTAGCTTGAGGTTCATGAGAGACTGGGATCATACTAGCCAAACCTGAAAAGAACTAAAATTGTGTTTTAATTAGGATAATCCTGTCAATGCAAGATCGATTTAGTATGATTGATTAGGTTTATACACATAAAATGGTAAGCTAATGTATAAATTAAAAGCAAACCAGTGATTAACTTGCATAAAATAAAAGGTTCATGCCTCACCATGCAGCCAATAGGTCTATATATGATATGCTTTCAGATTTGTGGAAGGATGATTCACTTTGAAATCACAATTTAATGGATAACGCGTCTGAGAATCCAATTTTACAGCCATCATCAAATTAACTTTCATGCAGCTAGGATCTCTTCTCTCAAAATACAATTTTTTTTTTTTTTTTTTTTTTTTTAATGAGCTAGCCATTCTATTCTATTGTGAAAATCATGAATGTGATTTCAAAATGGTTACTTTGGTCAAGAAACTTTGAAGTGAAAAAAAGAAAAAGAAAAAGAAGAAAAAAAAGAGGAATTAAACTAGAGAGAATTAACTCATTAGAACATCCATAGAAAACAGAATACACAGTTTATAATAGTGGTACTTAAACAAACACTAAAAACCAAGGAGAAATAGATCACAGTCAAACAATGACATAATTTACCCAAAAAAAAAAAAAAAAAAATCAAACAATGACATAATATTTATATTATATAATGTTGGGTGATCGATCTCTCCAAGACCCATACAGTACATGTTTTTCTCTCTCTATCTATCTATATATATAAAAAAAATAGGAAGTAGAGTTGCAAAATGTGTTCATCAATCTGATGATAGAGAAGAAGGCTTCATTATGTGTACTCCTATTTATCTCCCACCAGGTTTCAGGTTCCATCCCACAGACGAGGAGCTCATCACTCATTATCTTAAGAAGAAGGTCTCGTCTTCGACGAATCCCATAATATCTATGATAACTGACATCAATCTCTACAAGTTCAATCCATGGGAACTTCCTGGTGATTCACCTTACATATGTTCATATTTCTAAATTTTCCTACATGATATTGAGAATATTGGTTTCATATTCATCAATGTTGTAATTATTACTCATTGAATGTTTCAATATTGTTGTTCTTTGTGTTTGTGCAGACAAGGCCGTGTTTGGTGAGAGTGAATGGTTTTTCTTCAGTCCAATAGATCGGAAATATCCCAATGGTGCTCGCCCAAACAGAGCAGCAGCATCCGGCTATTGGAAAGCCACCGGGACTGGTAAACCAATTCTTTCCTCCAATGGGTCACGGTGCCTTGGGGTGAAGAAAGCTCTTGTATTTTACAGAGGTCGCCCTCCGAAAGGCACAAAAACAGATTGGATGATGTATGAGTATAGGCTTCTCAATGGTACCTCTCAGTCCCTTAAACCTCGAGGATCGATGAGAGTAAGTTCAATGGCATAATTATGCCAATACAAAGAAAAACAAACATGATATGAAGCTATTCACTATATAGTCTAATAATATATATGATACTAGAAGAGTGAAAAAAAAAAAAAAAAAAGCAACAATGAGAAACATGTCATGGGAGATGAATCAATGAATGCATCTTTACTATGCTGATCTTTTATTTCAAAAAAAAACTATATATATATATATTCAGATCATGCAGTATATGTAGTGTTTTTAGATTTGTACTATATATATATATATATATATATATATATATATATAGTGTTTCCTCTGTGTGCGCTCTCAAACACTCATGTTTGTATGTCTTCATTTGCTTGTTATCTTTGTTTTGAACTATATATATAGTGATAATCATTCTTGTTCTTCTCAGTTGGATGACTGGGTTCTATGCCGTGTTCGTCAGAGAAGCAATGTCCTGACACGAAGAGAAGAAAACGGCGAAAGCAGCAAAAGAAGTTCATCCTCTCCATGTGATGTTGGGCCTTTCGAAGAAAAAGACATAATGGAGAAGATCAATTACTTGAAAGACCATGAATTGGCTGCTCAAGAAGGTGTAGTTGATTTGCAAGGAGGCTCTTTGGAACACTCGATTTCGGATGTAAATTCTGAAAGTCCCCAAAAACACGTGGTTCATTCCATGAAACATGCACTTGAAAAAATCAGAAGGGTGCTTTCTATTGAAGCTTTGGATGAACAAGCGGCACTACTGCCAAACAGTAGACTATCTATGTTCACTCTCTTATAATTAATAACTTGAACAAGTCTTCAGGGATTCTGGGAATCTCCTCCAATTAGTACTTCTGCCATATATCAAACTATCAACTGTCTACCTCATTGTTGTCTTGGCAAGTTGATATATAATTGCAGTATATATCATGTCAACCATAACTATACATTATGAATGAAATGTGATATATTCAGAGTCGGCACACGCCGAAAAAAAAAAAAAAAAAAATGTCTGTATTTGCTCAAAAAAGGAGTCAATGGAATTGTGTAAAAGGATGAGAAAAGACAGAGAAGAAGGAAAAAATATAAAGAAGGCGGCCCAAAAGCTACCAAGTGTGCTGAATCTGTTGTAGCGCAGCTGTAAAGTGCTACACGTTTAAAGATGGTGATGCTTTGAAATACAAAATAAAATTAAATTAAATTTTTTTAAACATTTCCAACTTTTTGTTGGATAAGGACCATCTTAGTTTAATTAATAAGACTCTGGTACTTTACAGCATATACCAAAAATAAAAATAAAATAAAGTAAATCTTTACACAAGTTTGGTTTCTCTCCTTGTTACTAGTAGTTCTCAATAGTCGATTAATTGATTCTAATAAAATTTGATTAAACATAAAAACTTGCTAGTCTTGAAGTTACATGGTGGGCTAATCAAGGTCGCTCCCAATTCTCTCTGACACCAAAATGATGCATACACTAGCTCAAGGATAACTAAATTACACCAAAATGATGCATCTAAATTTAGTAATTGTTCTCATCTAATCTGTTATCTCTCTTTACATTTTCATGTTAAAGGATTGGAACATTTCAATATGTCAAATAAATCAAACTTGGATTTCATATTTTTATTTTTTTTATGTGGATTGAAATATTTAATCAGATCGTTAATAATTACATAGTCTCTCATATTAAAGAACAAAATATATAATAATTTTATTATTATTGTTGTTGTTAATATTAATATTTTCGCCTGACACCAACAAGAAAAGAGATTTATTTAATAGATACATATACATTCAGCAAAAACTTTAGCTTAGAGAAAATATCATCCACAAATAGAAACTTTTGTCGTTCAAAATTTGACGAACAACCACATGGGCAACCTCATTTTCTACTCTATCATGATCAATGCAATTTGATAATAAAAAATTATATATAATATACTATAAATGTATTATCAAATACTATAACATATAACTATTTATACTATTTTTTCATCAAAATGTCATTCTTGATCTAATTATCCATTTTTCTTTTTCCTTTTTTAAATTAGGATTTTTTTTTCACTCTCTTTCTCTCTTCAATAAATAATTTATCCTATTAGTGGACCAGATTGAATGTTGATATTTACAAATTTGGATTGAACGAAGTTCTGATATTAAAAATTGTCACGCTCTGAGACCATATGGCACAATTGGTGAGGCAAACAAATATGTGCAACGATTAATAAAAAAAATTATAAAAAATTCAATTTTAATTGAACGAAACAAATTAAGCCTCTTAAGAGTAATGTGACCGAGCCACTCCCCTAAAACTTTATAAATGAAATTAGTTTTAAAATGACTATTTTTCGTGTTCGTGTGATGAAGTTAAATCGTATGACAAATTTTAGACCTAGTGATAATTTATAGAAACGGATTAATTTAATTTCATCGTTCTCAAAATTCCTAAAATATGTTTGTTTTCCGAAAAGACAATTTTCTAAATTTTTAAATTTTTTTTTTTGACTCATTTTTAGATTGCATATTCAAAAAACTCCAATCTTAAGCAAATTTGTGAACTGTTCTATATATTTTTAATTTCTTTGATAAAAGAAAATTATTTTCAGAAATATAGATCGACTTTAAATTTACCAAGCATCTTCTTTTTTCCTGCCTTTTTCGGAAGGTAAATATTTTGCCTAAAATGCCCTATTTTGAATGAATTACTAGTATTGAATTAACAGGGACGAAATTGTAATTGCAGCTCTCCTACATAGACAGACGCTTCTCGGCTTCCACCGCCTGCGTGGAAGAGTCGAAGACCCAACTCTTCGCACATTTTTCCTCCCCTGTTTCAATTTCTCTCTCTACAACACAACACACACTTCCTTAACACAGATCAAGAAGAAGAGCAAGAAAGTCGATGAGGAAGTTTTTTAGCAGAGGCTCTGGTGACTCTCCCCAACCTGAGCCGGAGCCGGCGCCTTCTTCTCCTGCTTCAGGCGCAGCCCTCGGACCGGCGAGGCCGATTCGCTTGGTGTACTGCGACGAGAAGGGCAAGTTCCGGATGGATCCTGAAGCCGTTGCGACGCTTCAACTTGTTAAAGAACCGGTCGGCGTCGTCTCTGTCTGCGGTCGCGCTCGCCAAGGCAAGAGCTTCATACTAAATCAGGTACCCCAACTATATATATTCTACTCACCATTGATTTAAAATTCGATTTTTAATGGTTACATATGCACTCTAGGGTTCGTAATTTAGTGCTTATACCCATCTTTTTGGATTTAATTGATGTACTTCATTGTTTTGGAGTGCATTTTTGTAATTCTAGAATTAGGGTTTTGTCTATTTGGTATAGTTAGAATTGGGTTGTATTTAGTTGGATTAACTTGTTAAATACAATGCAACGTGGCAGGGACCACTACAGATCGTCATAGAATGGGTTCACTGTTTAAATCACACATTCATCTCGTAGAAGGCGTTATGATTGCATGGGAATGTCCAATATAAAGTAATGCAAAAATATCAATATGGTTTGCGTAAAACACTGGCATTGCTATTATCTTTTGGAACGAATTCAAGTACTAACTGGGGTTTTTGTACTTTAATTGATTATATTATTATTAATAACTTATGTTAGTAATTTTAGTCATTAATTGTAGTTAATAATTTATATTACTACGTTTAACTCAAAACACGGAGCTTTAAAGCAACAGATTGATGTGATTCATGTGAATTTGCAGCATCAAGTGTGGTGAATTGAGTTTTCTTGTTTATCCTTATAGTCACACTTGTTTTCTTCTTTTACCGATTCTGCATTCCGAATATTACATAACTACAAAGTATGCCATGTATCACGTTTTTATTCAAGTATGTTGCTTGCATCTGTGTTGTAGCTTCTTGGAAGGAGTAGTGGATTTCAAGTGGCGTCAACTCATCGGCCATGTACTAAAGGGCTTTGGTTGTGGAGTGCACCCTTAAAGAGAACTGCTCTTGATGGAACTGAATACAATCTTTTACTTTTAGATAGTGAAGGAATTGATGCATATGATCAAACGGTTAGCTTTTGTTCTTTCACGTGGGCATGAACTGATGGTGATTCTATTTTCTTTCCTTCTTTATTTGATGCATATGCAATGTTATCATGTAACCTTTGCCCCTTTTTGATTGTTTCTGGCAGGGAACATACAGCACACAGATTTTCTCCTTAGCTGTCCTCTTATCAAGCATGTTCATATACAACCAGGTTGGCTTGGGATAACTTAGTCCTAGACCTATTTCATTCTTAGACAACATTGCTTGTGTTATATAGTTAAATGTTTTGAAATTATTGTGATTTTGTTCTTTCATTCTTCGACAACATTGCTTGTGTTATTTATTTAAGATACTGCAGATATTATCTGGTTACTTACTTAACATGCCTTCAATTCAGATGGGTGGTATTGATGAACCTGCACTTGATCGCCTTTCTCTTGTCACTGAAATGACTAAACATATTCGTGTTAGAGCCTCCGGTGGAAAGAGTACTGTTTCTGAGATTGGGCAGTTCTCCCCTATCTTTGTTTGGCTTCTAAGGGTAATTCTGTTGTGCCATCATTCTGTATGTCTGTTGAATACTTAATAATGCTCGTATTTCCTCAATAGGAGTTTTTGACACTATTTATGGTAACTTCTTTCTTACAGGACTTTTATTTGGACTTGGTGGAAGATAACAGGAAAATTACACCGCGTGACTACCTAGAGCTTGCTTTGAGCCCAGTCCAAGGTGGCAGAAAAGATATAACTGCCAAAAATGAGGTTCATCACCTAGCTCTATCCTAGTTCTATTGACAAAGTGTGGGACACCAAATAAAATACAATTTATTATTTGTTGGTTTACATGAGCTATGTATGTTATGTTATTGACAATCTTCTCTGAACAACAATATAAGAGGCTATTTTACGTGAACTTGATTATGTGTTTGGGTGTGGATTTGTGTTTATGCAAGGAGATGGTGATGCAACTAAATTTTGTATTTCTTAGTGTTCTTTTTAGGGCAAAATATATTTTTATGTAACATAGTATTGAACATTTGAACTTGGTTCATGTTGAGGCAATAATGTAACATAAAGAATATAATAAGAGAGTGTTATGTAATTTTTTTTAATATGCTTGAGCTTTCGGATACGGATGCTAGGTGTATGTCAGGCACTCACACATATCCATAACCTAGTGTCGTGTGTCCAGTATGAATTCTTCACACATTTAGAAAGGTCCATACGAGGTGTACATTTTGAGGTTTAAATATTGTTGATTTTGTGGAACACATTTTGCACTTTAAAGATTTTTCTTTCTTTCTTTTGTTTTATTTTTTTGGTTGAATGTCAAGTGGATTTCCTAATGATGCAAGTATGATGATTTCTAGATTCGGGAGTCTATTCGAGCACTTTTTCCAGATAGAGAATGCTTTACCCTTGTGAGGCCTTTGAGCAATGAAAATGATCTTCAGCGACTTGACCAAATTCCAGTCAGTACCTTTCTGCACTTGTTTCATTTGTAAATTATTGGTTTTATTGTTATTATGGTTATGAATGAGTCTTTTCATTCATACATATATTTTTTTGGTTTACTGAAATAATAAGTCTTTCATGCAGTTGGGCAAGTTGAGGCCAGAGTTTAGATCTGGCCTAGATGCTTTTACAAGGTTTGTTTTTGAGAGGACTAGGCCAAAGCAAGTAGGGGCTACAGTAATGACAGGACCCATTCTTGCTCGTATTACTCAATCTTTCCTAGATGCACTTAATAATGGTGCAGTGCCTACAATAACATCCTCATGGCAGGTTAGTGGGTTTTCTGGAGCTTTATATAGTTTCATTTTTATTTTTTTGAGATATTATGATTTTGGTAGATTGGCATTTGGTAATTCTTAAGTGGGTTATTTCAGTTCCACACTATGTTAATAGTGGTTGGATGTGATAACCTATACCAACATAGTTACATAATCATTAATATTGGTGTTGTTATGTGACCAGTTACAAAGAAAAACCGAGGGAAAAGATAGTTCAAATGCTTTTTCTATGACATGGTGTGGAAAACAGTGTAACCGATACATCCTTGGGGGGTTAATGACAAAGTCCTTGAAAGATAATTTATATAATTTTGAAGGAATTGTCTTAATGTAAAACAATTTGAAACTACATTTTCTACTATTATAATTACAAAGTTTGTATATCTCCACTTTTCTCATCATCAAGGAAAACTGTTTTGTAAAAAGAAATAGAAACAACAAAAATGAGATAAAGTTGTTTGTCTCACTAGGAGCATCTATATTTTGTTTTAACAAAAGCCATAGGACTCGGTTGGATGGGATTAAGATTGTAAATTGTAAGATTCACTAGGATTGTATGACTTCTCTAGAAAAGGGTCATACACATGATACAAGTTTACTTAATAAAGATTGTACTTATCCAAAAAAAAAAAAAATTGGAAAATGTTTTTTTTAGTTGCTAAAGTAATGCTAACCATATTTTCTTTAAAGAAACTAAAACTTCATTAACTATAGTGGAGGGGTAACACATGTATCGGCCAATTCAATGAACTACTACGTGGTTATAACAGGACGGTGTCAGAGTTGTTTTTATGTTTGCATAAAGAAACAAAACATGTGAAGAGTTCCATTATTGTGGAAAGAAATAATTATGATTTTGTAATTTATGCAAAGGAGTGGGTTTTCTTTTGTGGTTGCTTCTTTATGCTGCCTTCTTCCTTGATTTTGTGGGTACCCCTGAATTTTTTTGGGGGAAGTAAGAAGGAAAACAAGACTTTTTTTACCTAGATGTCTAAAGAATCAACTGTTAAAGGAAGTAAATTCTCCTTATATTAAATGAGATTTCTTTATTCTGGTTTTCTTTCTTCTGGTAGACTTCTTTTAGGTCTATCATTTATGTTATTTTCTATGGAAGCAAGATATGCATTTGGTGGTTGAGCAGTTCAGATTATGGATTGTTTACCCGAAAGAAGTTTAGGTTATGTACTAAATGGATCTTTTTGAGTTTTTTTGAGTGTCAACTATTCATCTTTTGCAGAGTGTTGAAGAGGCAGAGTGTCAGAGAGCATACGATTTAGCAACTGAAGTTTATATGTCTGCTTTTGACCGTTCAAAGCCACCTGAGGAGGTAATTTTTGCGTCTTTCTGGTTGTTGTTCAATCCTATTGTTGTCTAATATCCAAGTTGTTTTAGGCTGCACTAAGAGAAGCACATGAAGAAGCAGTTCAGAAATCAGTGGCTGCATTTAATTCTAGTGCTGTGGGGGCCGGTTCAATTAGGCAGAAATATGAAAAGCGTCTTCATAGCTTCCTAAAAAAGGCATTTGAGGTATTTTTTCCTTGTAGTATTCTGAGGAACACAATTGAAGATGTATATTTGTTTCCTTTTTGGTGATACAGCAATTTTCCCCCCTTTTATTGATATTATTTTGAATTGGAAAATGCATGTCAACTGTCTTCATCCTTTTGTTCAGTTTTGAATGCATTAGAATGATGAGAATTAGTTCTCTGACTATGAGATAAACAGTGATCAATAGAATCAATTTCTAACATATAACGTACGATACATATAAATTTTGTTTTAGTATTCTAATAAACATTTGATTTATGTTCTTATTCTTATTTTTGATAAGTAATATCCCAAATATATTATTATTGTGATTAAGAATACTTTTGCCTGGATAGCATGTAGGCATCCCATTGTGGATGCATCATGCATGACCCCATGTCTCATACAGCATTTTAAATTTTGTGCACTATTGCAGTGTGATAAGCGTGGAGTGTAACACTGTGACGGGCATTACGTTATGGTAAACCAAGGTCATCAAATTCTTTTGATCATGTCCTTGTTACAAATTTGGCAAGGACAGCTTTTCCTCATATAAGCCTTGCCACAAGGGCCTCCTCTCTATTGATAAGCCTTGCTACCTTTCCTACATGGTACTGTCTTGGGCTAGGTAGTTAATAGGTTGCATCTGAAAGCTTAAGAGAGCCTCCCCTATGTCGATAAGCCTTGACAAGATGGAAGGCTTGTGAAGGCTAGCAATAAGTTTCAATGAGATTACAAATCTAGGACATTTGCACATTCCATAGTTGTTTGGGCAGGGACGCATACAAACTTAGGACATTTGCACATTCAATGAGATTACAAATCTAGGATTGAAGGGACGCACACAAACTTATTGTTTGGCTATGATTCATAGTTGTTAAAGGCTCAAGGTTTACCACGACTCATGATGGTTGGTGTCTTAACCCGGTAACAGTTGGCCTCATGGGATCCAAGCTGCTTTCTGTTTGGTTGCTTAAATCCTCGTTAATAAAGTTCGTCTTTAATGTATGCACAATTCTTAACCTTCCTTGAAGAAAGAAAGAAATTGAATGTTATTCACTACCTTGCGAGGATCCACTTGTATTCCATATGATGTGATTAGTTGCTCCAGTGTTGTCTTTCACATTAAATGTCCAATCTACCACATCATGTGCCTGTTCAGAATGCAATCTTTTAACCATTATATGTTCATGTCAACCTTCCACAAATACATAAATTTTCTGTAAATTGTCTTCACTCGTAAAAGCAATTCAGAAATCCACTCGCAGGCTCTATGTTGTCAAATCTCCACTGCCAATATGTGCCACCAAACACTAAAATAGTAAAATGAGTTCTTAAACTAAATACTTCTTGCCTGCTGAACTGCCTTGCCAAACAGACATTAAATAAATGTTATATTTAACCCACTGTCATACCTCATTTGTTCATTTTAAGATATAGGTAATTGTACCTACTTTATGTAGTCCTTTCACCTCCTGGTTGACTAAACTCGGGATAGCGTGGACTATCCTGTTAATTTTCAAAAATTCACTACCCAGCTGCTCTACGTATCATTTTTAGAGACGTCAGTAGACTTAAATCCGTTCCTTTCCGCAATCTTTATTAGCTTGTTTTGTAGGAATAGAGTAGTCAAAGTAATTGCATAAAGGGGCACGTGGCATTATTGGTTCCCTCTATTGCTCAACAGTCTTTTTCTCGGCTTTCTCTCACCCAACAAATATTTAGGACTTTAAGCCTGCATTTAGAAAGACAGAACCTACTTACCTAACGAGATCAACTCTCATTAAGGAGTTAAATCTCCCAAAAATCTGTAATAACCTTTCTCCATTTACCCTTTCCTTGAGGAATCATCAGGTATCTATTTACTACCACCCTTCTCTATCCCCACCACCCCCCCCCCCCCCCCCCCCCCCCCCCCCCCCCTCCCTTGAGCTACCTTGTATTTCCACCTAGCCTAGTCCCCTTTGGATCTTCTTTATATCTCATTAACACTCCAATGTACACTTTACCACCTCGAAGCCACACTTTTCTTTGAAGTTATCCGCTGGAAGTTGTCAGTGCGTGGGGAGATAGAAGGGCTGGGTAATTGTTCAACTTGTTTCCAATCACTTGTTTATCAGGTAGATGCTAGAGCAATGCGTCCTGATACTCAAAGTATCTTTAAGTTAAAGCTCTGGATTTGCTGTTGGTGCTACAGTAGGTTGTTAAAACCAGGGGAAGCATATTCAGGGGATTCTGTCTATCCAACTCATTCAATTGTTCAGTGATAGAAGAGAACCAAGTTCTTGCTTTCAAATATCTAACAGTGGGCTGTTGGACATTCCTTTGGCGATCCTTAATTTTTTAGAACGGTGTGGGTCTTCTGTTGATAAGGAGTGGTCTTTTATTATATATCGGATTTTTTTGATCTTGTGCTCTGTAACTCTTCCTCAACCAGGCTTGCACTCTTCTAATTGCTTAGAAGGCTTCAAGAACCCCTTTACGTCTAGGGCTTATCGAAGCCCTATTCTATATATTCAGGAACAGGCTTACTAGATTCGAAGTGAGAAGCATTGTATAGATCATGTTGGGGTGTATGAAATTCTCTACCTTGCTTTCTAATTGACCATTTCTTTTATCCTTGCTTTTTAATTTTTGGTTGCATGAGTATTGCCATTTAAAATTTAGTCAATTAGCAGGTCTGCTTGTGGTAAATGCAGATATTAGCAATTTCACTACTCAATGGAGAATTTGATCAACCATCCATGTGAGAGGGAATATCTTCATCACTAGTTTCCCAGATTCTAAATCAGGCAAAGTGATATGGATTTTCAGGCGATAAGTTCACATATTTACATGTCAGGCGATAAGTGGGAGAGCAACGGCATGCATGTCTGTTATGTGCAGATAGAAAAAATTATCTAGGAATAATAGTTGTTTGAGTCTGTAGATTTGAAGCTCATTCTTGTTTTGTTAACCTAAGAAAAATTGTTTTTTGGCTAATTAAAAAGAGGCGGTATTACTATCATATCTTTATAGATTAGTGATAGTAAGAGGTTTAATTGATAGATACACAGAAAGTGCAATTCTTGAATTAATACTGAGGTGGTCCAATGAAATTACTTATAGTAAGATCTGTTTACCATATTCTGATGCATTTTCAAATTGGAGATATTTGGTTATTTAACTTTTTAGTACTGCTTTCAGAAGTTGAGAAATTCCAGTAAACACCATGCAATCAACTGATTCAATTCATATACATTTGAGGTGGAGTTTGCAGCCATCTATTAGGTATTTGTGATTTGAGTAGAGTTTAGTATGGATAGGAGTCAAGTACTTTAAGACTCTAAGTTAGATTAGGTCCATGTCATGCTCATACTCTGAATTTAATGGAAAATGTGAACTTTGCAAAATTTGGGATTTATAAGCATGCAGATAAGTTTTTATTATAATGCACCTGCGAGTCACACAAAAAATCTCTGTATGCAGTGTATGGTATCTCTTAAATACTTGTCTGTTGAGCTAACTTTCAAACTTCATTTTAGTATGAATACACTAGTCTTATTGATTTGGATTGGCCACTGATGCAGGATTATAAAAAGGATGCTTTTAGGGAAGCATATTTGCAATGTACAAATGCTATAGAGAAGATGGAAAAGGAATTGAGAACTGCTTGTCATGCTCCTGATGCAAAATTAGAGAATGTTGTTAAAGTAAGCATTCATTACTGGATTATTCTTGTTCATAATATTCTTAGAAGTTTTTTTCATGTCATGATCTTTTTGCATTTAAAAGAAGAAATTTGTCCCTTTCTTTTCTTTTCTTTTCTTTTTTTTTTTTTTTTTTTGTCTTTTTTTTTTTTTTTTCTTTTTTTTTTTCTAATAAAAAATCCTAGTTTTTTTCAACTGGATTATTCTTTGAATAAATGTGATCTGGAATACTCGATTGCATTTACTCCAAATTCACTGCGAATGTCTTTTTCTGTACCTTGCTTTAAGGGCCAACATATTTCTCATTTATGTCAAAAGCATCACATTGGTAGTTCCTATATCTGCCCTGCCATTTGAGTGGCTAGTGGCATCATAACAAATAATGCTAGTGGACTGTCTTCAGATTGGTGGGAATAACAATCCCAACTTGAATTGAGAATTTTCTCAATTTCAAGCATCATCACGGGGGCTTTCCCACCTTGGTGGGCAGTTTTCACGTCTGCTTGCATCTTTACTTGAAGTTGTACTGAAAAGCAAGGTTTTACTTCTTTTAGACATGAATTTGGATGGTTAACTCATTGACAGAGAACCTGTATAATTTGGTTTTGAATTGTACATGGTTTATTTGTAGTCCCTTGCCAGTGTTTATCAAAGGAACTTTATACCACTACAAGCATGTCAATATTTTCTTTACAAACTTCCTTTACTAAATGCAATGAAGGCATATCAAATCCTTATATGAATTGATGGACTCTACCCAATCAAAGGCCTTTGAATTTTCCTGCAAGATCTGCAACATAAAAAATTAGTTGTTTTTGTTATATCTGTTGTTACTTTATTATTACTATCTTTGCATATGCAGTGATTTTGTAGGCTTATCATTCTCTTCCTTTTTAAAAGCTTATCAAATACCTTGTTGATTACTCTCATGTCACATGATTCCTGTTATAGGAATTGGGATTATAAGGATGTGTGATTCCTGAATCTGTCCTTGATATTGGCTCTCTCACCTCAGAAGAAGTTATCTTCCTGTTTAATTGATCTATTGCTGTTGAAATGTTTTGTTGAACTAGTAAATATATGAATCATGGCATGGATGCAGTCATGGAATATGATTTTAATGTCAACATGTTATGCAGGTCCTTGATCGTCTTCTATCCAAATATGAAGCATCATCTCATGGTCCAGAAAAGTGGCAAAAACTGACCATCTTCCTACAACACAGGTGTGTATCGTCATTTTCTGATTAGTGTGGTTGCATCTTAATTATTGTCTGATTTTGTTGGATCCCTAGTTTGGAAGGCCCGGTTCTTGACCTCATCAAGAAGCAAATGTATCAAATTGAGTCAGAGAAGGGTTCCCTTTTGTTGAAATGCCGCTCAATCGAAGATAAGATGGCATTGCTTAACAAGCAACTAGAAGCTAGCGAGAAGTATAAATCTGAATATTTGAAGCGTTATGAGGATGCTATCAATGACAAGAAAAAGCTTGGCGATGACTATATGTGCCGCATATCTAATTTGCAGAGTAAATGTAGTTCACTGGAAGAGAGATGTACCACCTTAGCCAAAACATTGAATAATTCCACTCAGGAGTCCTCAGAATGGAGAAGAAAATATGAGCAAGTATTATCCAAGCAGAAGGCTGAGGAAGACCAGGCCAGTGCAGAAATAGCGACACTCAAGTCCAGGAATAGCGCTGCTGAAGCTAGGTTGGCTGCTGCTCGCGAACAATCTCAATCTGCTCAAGAGGAAGCAGAAGAGTGGAAACGGAAATTTGACATTGCAGTTAGAGAAGCTAGAGCGGCTATAGAAAAGGCAGCAGTTGTGCAGGATCGCTCAAATAAGCAAACACAACAGAGGGAGGATGCTTTGAGAGAGGAATTTTCAAATACTTTGGCTGATAAGGTAAATAGTCTCTCTCTCTCTCATTTGTTATTTTTTTCCGTTGTCCAACTTACCATCACATGAGTATGCAGAGATAATGCTGATGATTTGTCTCTTTATTTATGAAACTGCAGGAGGAGGAGATAAAGAACAAGGCAGCAAAACTTGAATACGCTGAGCAACGTTTGACAACTTTGAGTTTGGAATTGAAGGTGAGCTTTTGGGTTGGAAAGAGGCTGTAGGCAATGTAGACAGACTCACTTTGGCATATCATGCACACACATGCACAAAAACAGTCACAACAAAGTCTTCTTAGTATTTTAAATGGTACACTTCTATGGTTATTTATATATATATATATATATATATATATATATATATATATATATATATATTTTATTTTATTTTTTTGAATCATAGAATATGGACAATGTGGTGGCTTTATCTGTGAACATACAGTAGGTAGTGAGAGATTCAGTGCAATGATAATTTGGTATGTGGCTGTTATACTTGGGGATGGCAATTTAAGATCTGGGTTACCCTAACTCGAGCCCAATAGATTGGGTTGTATAGCAGTGGGTATGGGATTAATTTAAAAAATCTAATGATAGTCTAGGGTTGGGACAGACTTTAATTAACCCTGCCCAACCCCATCCCACTCCTGAACAGTAAAGCTATACAATCCCCCAATATTGGCCGGGGGTATTACATTCTTGGGTCCCCCGAGGTACCCAGTACTTTCTCGTCCGCAACACACTAATTTTAAGTATGTAACATAATATTTTACTTGTCAAAAAAAAAAAAAGTACGTAACATAATATTTCGAAAATGTAACACAATTATTTTTAAAATTCAGCACAAATATTTTAACGAAACACAATTAAATCAAAATTTTGTAATACCCAATTATGTTGAGGATGAACAGTAAAGTTATTCATCTCCCATTCCATCAATGTGAGACGAAATATCACCGTGCATTCAATAAGAGATGACCTCACTTTCTCAGCAAGTTGTGGGTATTGAACTCGTATCCTTCTACATGGCTACAACCACTCATTTCACTTGGTATTCATGTGAAGTTATTGAACACTGTACTCCAGTGTGCATTGCAAATATGTTGACCATTCGTATGGTTCCGTATGTTTATATGATTTTTTTTTTTATTTATTTTTTTTTTTTATATATCAATTGAATGCGCTTTTTGCCATGAAGTTGTTATTATATAATTTGGCCCCTGCCTGCTTCTTATTGGAGTTGGGATGGGTATGTGAATTTTTACTTCACAGGACAGGTTTTGAAGGGGATACCAAGCTCAACCTGTCACCATTCCTAGTTATATTAGTTACTGTCAGATTAGAATATATAGTAGATAGATTGAATTGATACTGTTATATAGTCCTAAAGATTTTTTTTCCCCTTTATGTTGAGAAAAGAAGCCCAAATATAATTTTACACATTAGTTTTTGCAAATTTCACATTATGTTCATTATATTGACGGTAGAGTGCAGTATCATCATTAGGAACAAAATATAATCCACCTTTAACTATACTTTTTATATAATAATGGTATGGAACGGCGACATATATTCTTGTTATTATATTATGTGTTTATGTAACTTCTAATGGTGGTGCATATTGATATACATATGTATATGTAGTAGTGTTTTAATGGTGGTTCCTTACTGTAATCTGTCCTCTTTGCAGGCTGCCGAGTCAAAAATTAAGAACTATGATGTAGAACTATCAACCTTGAAGCTTGACATTAAGGAGTTAGGCAAAAAATTAGAAACTGTAAATGCTACCGCACAATCATTTGAAAGAGAAGCAAAGATACTAGAACAGGAAAAAGTCCATCTCGAGCAAAAGTACCATTCTGAGTTTAACAGGTTTGAGGAAGTCCAAGAAAGGTGTAAATTTGCTGAAAAAGAAGCCAAGAGAGCTACTGAATTGGCTGATAAAGCACGAGCCGAAGCAGTCACTGCCCAAAAGGAAAAGAGTGAGATTCAGCGACTATCGATGGAAAGATTGGCTCAAATTGAGAGGGCAGTGAGGGATATTGAAAATTTGGAGAGGCAGAAAACTAATTTGGCTAATGAAGTAGATAGTATCCGTGTATCCGAGATGGATGCCCATTCCAAAGTTGCGATGCTGGAGGCAAGGGTTGAAGAAAGGGAGAAAGAAATAGAGTCACTGTTGAAATCGAACAATGAACAGAGGGCTAATACGGTTCAAGTCCTTGAGAGTCTTTTGGAGTCGGAGCGTGCTGCACATGCAGAAGCAAACAACAGGGCAGAAGCACTTTCTCATCAGCTGCAAGCTACCCAAGGAAAACTAGATTTACTCCAGCAACAGTTGACTTCAGTTCGTCTAAACGAAACAGCATTGGATAGTAAGCTCAAAACTGCTTCCCATGGGAAACGTGTGAGGGCAGATGACTTTGAGATGGGAATAGAATCCATTCATGATATGGGCAATAATGATAGAGTAAACAGGGGAAATAAGAGATCTAAGAGTACAACTAGCCCTTTAAAGTTCTCCCAGCCAGAAGATGGTGGTTCGGTCTTCAAGGGCGAGGAAGAGAGCCACAGCGAACAAACCAATTCCGAAGATTATAGAAAGTTCACCGTGCAAAAACTGAAGCAAGAACTGACAAAACATAATTTTGGTGCCGAGCTGCTTGATTTGAAGAATCCTAACAAAAAAGATATCCTTACTCTTTATGAGAAATGTGTTCTCCAGAAGTCTTAACTTGTCGGACTGCTGGTTGTGAAGGATGATTGCCTGTATTATATGGAGAATTGAAGGATAGCCAGCTTATGATCTGTAATTATTGATTGTGAAGGATTCTATAGTCTACTAGAACTGAATGATAGCCAGCTTCTGACTTGATCAAGTAACTAAAATCCTCAGCGCGGGTTGATAGGTTGACTTGGTTGTTCGTTCGAGCTTGAGAAGATCTTTTGGTGCAAGTATTGATCGATTACAATTGTTTGCCCATGTTGGCTGTCACTGACCTCAACTAATCTTTAGTTGTTAGCATTTGTCCTCTCTTTTTCTCTTTTTTCTTTCTGAGTGTATTTTCTGGTGGTTTGGGGATGTTTTGTTTGTTTGTTTGTTTTTGGTAGATAAGAGGAAAAATATTTACGAATGGTGTATTGTTATTGGATTACTCTAGCAGCTTGTTATATGTGTGTGGCTGCTTTACATTGTATTTTTCTGATGACATTAATGAGGTGATGTTCTCTCTCCTCCATATATTAGAGAGGCGAAGAATGAATTCTGGGAGTTTCTGCAAATTGGTTGCGTTGCTCGGCTGGACTGATGTATGTTCCATTAAGTGAAAGCATTCCATGTTTCATACTTGGGTCCTGTATCTTCTACTAATATGCTTCATTAGTATATCATGAACTAAAAAAGCGTTGGTAATGACAATTCCCAACTCCAAGATTGGACTACTTGTGAGTTCTGTGTTGCCATTTTCTTGAGAAATGGCCAAATAAGTGGTTGGCAGTCATCCTCGTTTTGGGTGAGAATTCCTTATTTATGTGGAGATTCTTCTGTGTAAAAATTTTTCTACTATGATTATTCAAGTCTTTCTAGATAGTCATTAGTCATATTGGAACCAAAGACAGAAGTCAACTTAAGATATTGAACAGTGCTGTTCGCAAGTTGGTCATATTGAAAAAATATATATAGAACTCACTACGTTTTTTAAGAATCTGGTTGAATTTTAGTGCAATTCAGGAGTCTTCGCTTTCCTAGTCTTTCCGAATTTTCTACTCCATAGTTCAATTAGCACTTCACAATTAAGCATTTGAAAGTCATGATCGCCTTTTTTACCCATTATACGCGTTAGAAGTTAGAACATGTCATTCATTTGAAAAAAGAGGACAAACCTTTTTAAAAAAAAAAAAAAACGAATTTGCACAAAAGGTAACATAAAGCAACAACCTGACCAAGCTTTAGATGAAGAGAGAGGAGAAGAGCTTGTTATTTCTGTATTGACTTATTTTTCCGAGTAAGCCTCTGTAGTTATAATGAGAGTCCCGTCATGAAAGGTTGAGCTCTAGTACAAAAGAGCAAGACTCTCTCAAAGGGGCCTTCTCATGACAAGTTGTCTAATGAAAGATGATACATTTTTCCCTTGTACGTCACCACTGTTGTATTGAAACTGGATTTGTGTTGTTTTCATTTTGAATATGTCATTTTACATTGCTAACTCAATAACTTTATATCGTTTATGTAATAATTAAGTTTCATCATTGTTTTATAGCGTTGCATTTTGTAATGAAAATGTTAGCTTATTTTGTAAGTATACTGTGTTGCATTGCACAAAATCCCTACACGAGAGGGGATTTGGATTCCCACTCCATTTCATGACTAATTAGTATGACAATGACGTTGAGATCCAAAAATAAATAAATAAATAAAATAAAGCAGAAGTGCAGGATACGTAAAATGATAATCATTCGAAATAATCATATCCTTGTTGAAAATTAACTCTACTATTCTATTTAATCATCACAGCCTTAACTCATCATCTAGGTTATGTTTGGTACAATGCAAAAGAAAAGAAAGGATAAGATTAGTCAGGAGAGAAAATAAAAGAAAAGAAAGGAGAGAAGAGGATATAGCTAACCATTTATTGTGTTTGGTTGATTAATAAAAGAAAAGAAATGAAATGATAGTAATAATATTTAGGGGAAGAAATAAAAGGAAAGTATTATAATGAATTTAGTACTATACCTTTTTCCATAGATTTTATCATTTTATAAAAATAAGGTTAAATTTGGTATAAACAAATTTTCATTAAAGAAGCTAGCATTTCATTATCTTTCCTTTCATTTCCTCCCAATTTCGTTCTCTTTTCTTTCATTTCCTCCCATTTTCAGAAGGATAACAAAACTAACATATCATATATAATTTGTTTCCTTCCAAATCCCTAACATTACATTTGATTTCCCTCCATTAGTTTTTTCTTTTCCTTCCAATCCCCTCCAACCAAACTGAGCCCTGGTTATTTGTGTGTGTGTGTGTGAGAGAGAGAGAGAGAGAGAGAAATTGCAACAGGATTTTCCATTCATTCAATAAAAAGTAGCCAAAAGAGAGTTTCCACAAAAACAAATTAAGTACAGATAATGACAAAATCTAAACAAAAGAGAGTTTGTACATTTCTACAATCAATATATAACTCTTCCATACGTGTATAATTATATATATATATAGGTGCCATATACCTCCACTATGTCCTCCCTAATAATATATATAAACTACAACAACATTGTCCAATCTCTTTCAATAATTACCCAAATGCATTTGTCTCTATACTTGAAGAAATAAACCATCCTCACTAAATCTCAATCTTAACTTATTTGAGTATTACACTTAAACAACCACCAAATGATTAAAACGTTGACATTCTTGCCCCTACTAAATGCTCCTCGATCCACATATACTTAATTAAGTTTTACCTTGCTTGTTGTATTGGTTAGGTAGATGAATGAAGGAAGACCCATCACCTTGAACAACCAAATTTGGAATTAGCTGAGCTGTTGTGCTTTCTTTGTTTTGCCTCCCAATCTCATAAGAAGATATAAAAGATTGTGGATTATAATACTCAATGAACCCTGCAGTGTTCTTGATGATTGGACTATGATCATGACCAATAGTACTTGTTCTCTTTGATTTCTTGTCTAGTGGTGATGATTCTTTAGGACTTGAAGTATTGCATTGTCTAGGCTGTGTTTGGTAGAAAACTTTCGAAACCACGACTTCTCCATCTTTCTCTTCCTCATTGTCACCAAGATGGTATTGGTGCATTACCCAATTCGTCTTCTCCGGCTTTCTTTGCCTTCCATAGTTGGTGTAGAGCACTAGTATCTTTTTGAAACCTTTCACCAAGCCGCCGATGATGACTGGTCTAGTCTTGCCCGTTTTGTGCCATCTTGTCTCGCCACCATCAGCATCCGTCTGCACCTTTCTTCGTTTTCTAGTCCCAGTGGTGTACGCCTTTGAAGGCCGGTGAAAGAAGTGGCGGATTTGGCCATCTTTGCTTACACCTGTGCCATATCAGATCATGCACGGAAGGAATTAATTAACATGTACATGCATTTCTCATACTTTAAAACAATGGCAATGCTTTATAAGAGACACAAGCAATCATTCACCAATGAAATGGCTTGCTCATAATAGAATATATATATATGAGTAGAATGCAGTGAGGTGATAATTTTTTGAAAGTTAGGCTCTAATAAATTTTCTCTCAAAAGAGCATTATAAAATATGTAAACATAACACATCCTCTAGGGGATAGAACAAGAACAGAAATTTTTTTTGGGTTTCTTGGTGATCCTTTTTGATCTAATTGGCAGGATTAGAAATACAGATGAGAAAGCAGATCAGGTGTATTAAGTACTCCAAAATATTATTAGGATATCACCAAGGTAATCATTCTCAAATCTTTTTTTATCCAATATTTCATACTAATAATCAGAGGCCTTGAAGCCATTCCTAACCTTGCCCTAATATATAGATATATATATCTATATTTGAAAGTGAAAGCAAATGAATTGAACATGCCCTAACATATATGATAGATCTAATGAACACACACATATGGAAACATATAGTATATATATAATTCAAGCTAGGGTACTTGAAAATCACCTGGTAGCTTCTCAGGGTGTGTGTAGCAAATTCCATTCTCTCCCTCAAGAGTAGTAATAAATTCATCAATAAGAGGATGAATCTTATGGGTATCACTGAACACCTTTGCCTCTAAATGTTGAAGAATTTCCTGGTCAGAGGGATCGAACCTCACTCCGGCTGGTAACCCCGGCAAGTCGTGAATTCCCGCCTAATTCAAAGTCTCAATTATTGATAATTACACTGTAAAACGACTAGTAGTATTCATAAACACACAATTAATAGAGAACTATAAGAAGAAAATGAAATGATATAATACCTGATCATGTAATTCTATGTTACGACCACATGAAGGGCATGTTATGGTACGAGTTTCATCAGCCACTTGAGAATTAATCATAAATCTTTGTTGTTTGGAAGAATTAGGTGAGATTGTTTGGATGGCTGTTTCGTGGTCGTCGCGAGACTCATTGCACCATGTCATCCCTCTTGTAATTCTACTTCTCTTCTAACTCAATACAATTCTAGCTAACAACAGTGAGAAAGAAATAGAAAATAATATAAGGGAAAAAAAAAAAAAAAATTGAAAGAAAGGAAAAGTACTAAATCGTTATTTTGAAGCACTTTTTCAATAACCAAATATTCTTCTTGTTCTTGATGTTTGGAAGGAACTGCATAACTTGTTCACCACTTCTTTGGGTTGCCGAGTTCTCCAGAGAAGAAAGAGAGAGAAGGGTCAGACTTTTCTTGTAACCTTGGACCGAATTAACAACACAATATTGAATTTTCTAGATAAAATATTGGGTTGCTTGGACGTCAAGTTTGGTTTTCTTTGTGTGTATACACATGTACCAGAATAAATTAAATGCCTTTTTGATCGACATAAGAGTAAAGACGGCTTACTATTTCTATTTATAAGTCTGTAAAGAAAAAATAACAAAACTTCTGTGAAAATAAGTAGGGTAGAGTGGAGATGGGGCAACCTGATTCTTTTGAGACGTCTCACCACACACACACTCACACACACTCATACACACACACAGATAGAGAGAGGGTGCTTTAGCTCCAGTGTCAACCTAGAGTGTCCTTAAAGCTATATTGTAAAACTATAAGTTTATATATACACCATACCAGAAATGAAAGTAGCAAAAAGAAATTTACACCAACCCTCTACATTTCTACTATCCATTTCTTCGCGTAGACTTCTCATTTGAAGCAAGGTATATATCCTCTATCTCTTGATATATATTGATTGATACATATACACTGACTAACATATTGTATTTACCTAATTTAAACCGTTAATATTAATTATTTGAAATCTTGCACTATTAATTTCTTTTCACGTGTTGCAAGAGTGCATTGAAGGAGATTCCGATGCTCTCTCATGTTTCTCACCTTGTCCTGTGCACTATTAAATTAACACTACTGCAAGTTGTGCACCACAAGAGTATGACAATGCAAACATGTATCACTCATAACGCAACACATGAACGCAAATTCCTAATAATACACCATATTGGCTTGGTATATCCTGGTGTAACGTGTATCTTCCCTATTCCAGTCATGAAATAAATTCAAAAAATAAATTTTTATTTGAGAATAAAATCGATGAAATAGGATAAATTTAAAAAGTATTTTGTAAATACATAATTATGTTGAATATATTAATTAACTTGTTTATTTTACAATCCCCCACAAGGGATAAGAAATATCTTGTTATTCACATTTAACAAGATATGTAATGCTGCTGCAGGATCATTAAACTAAATTCAATATTTAATATTTTTATATAAGTATTGCTTTGGTAATTTAAAATTGCACCCATTTAAAATTGTTGTATTCAGTATGAATATTCAATTAAAAATTATTTTATTAAATAATTCATTATAAGTGTTCGGTATGAATAACACTACTTTTTGACTAATGAAAATAAAAGATAAGTGTTTTATTAAGAAAATCTTTGACTAAAAATATCTTACGTCCTTGCCAAAAAAGAATTTATGAATTTTTTTAAAATGTTGTCTGGTAAAAGTCAAAGGGACACACTTAGGTAAAATTACTACCACTAATTTATGCGTCATCCAGCCTGGTTACGTGGAAGGGTTTGCGGTGACACGCTGGCAATTGTAAAGTATTGAGAGAAATGACAACCGCATATGAGTATTGTTACATTATCCAAAAAAAACATATATCATCAGCCAATGGAAATGCATCGAAAGTCCAAATCATGTATTGAGCTTGTCCGAGAAGCCACGCAATCAAAAGCTTCGGGAGGAAGTTTTGTTAGGGATTACTTTAACGTATGGTTTACAGTACTTTTGATATACAATAATAGTGACAAAAAAGTAGTGTAACCCTATTTAGAAATAAAGGGGTCGAATTCACATAGTTTTGCTCAGTTTTCAGATTTCTCACTCTTATCTCGTGAGATACAGTTGCATGGTCCAGTCGGTGCTACAAAATAATGCCTAGTGTGAAGGATGAGATGCAATTTTAGTTTAAAATTTTGATCCAATTACAAAGACCCGACGCAGAATATAGTCAAATATATCTGCCGAAACATTTAGTTGCACATGTCAAGAATGTCTAAATTATATACATAACGGTTAAGACATAATATTTTGACATGTCAAGAATGTCAAATTTATTATTATTTATATTTGATAGCATTGAATTGATGGTTTGAATTTAGACCGTCGTATATATAATTTTGTGTAAATTTGATGTAACATAGTAGATTTACACAAAAATTTTGTACTACCTAATTCTAGCTCTAGCGATTATTTTATACTTTTTGTATAAAAAAATATCTTCCAATAACAACCAACCACGTATCATACCTAAGACCCTACATAACTTTAACAAACCTACTTAATTACATTACTTTTTCGCGATTAAATCTAACATTCCAATCCTCCTCAATTAGAAAATAAATAATAATTTCCCTCTATATTTTACTTTCCCATCCCTCTAATAGTAAACATTTCCTGTCACCACCAGAATTCTAACTTAATAACAAATAATAAAATAAGATTCAAGTATGTGGAAACTATATAATCAAATGTTTTATATCAACAATTATATAGAAACGTGATTAAAATATATATGTAATATTTGGCTAGGTAGTACATATTTATTTCATTAGATAGAATGTAAAAGAATAAAAAGTTTTAAAAAAAATCATATTATCTACAGTGATGATTGCAGAAGATAAGATCAAATGAAATTGATGAATCTATGTTTATTAATAAATAAATAAAAGATGGTCGAGCAGTTCCTATTTTACTGCGAGTTGTAAATTCTGCTATATGACGCTCTAGAAAAAGTGAAAAACAAAGAGGTGTAAAGGAATGAGAGAAAAGAAAGAGAACCGCGAATGGAAAAGGGGGCTGAGAGAGAAAATATGATTACGTGGTTACGTAAAATTCACATTGGTGATGTGCCAATATATGTTAACAGAATGCTGGAATGAAAAAAAAATTACTAATCATATGTAATAGTGTATATTTTATACAAAAGAGTGTTTTAACATATCGTTCGAGATGCTCTTATTTTAATGATAAGTCACTTAAGCTTGCTGTCTTATAAAGTATCAAATTTATAATTGAATAATACAAATAATTATTTAAAGAATACGTCCGCAGATGAAAATCCGAATTTTACCAACCCAAACCCTGGTTAACTTAGAATAAATAAATAAACAAACAATAATGAGTGTCTGCTCTGTACCTGGAATCCAAGAGGTAATTTATCACATATGTCAGGATCATGGATTACTTTTTTATTTTCTATCGTGAAGAGGATAAAATTAGGAATTAAAATACCACACATTTCTTTGCTGGATCGATGGGACTTCTGTGGGACCATCTGTTTTAAGCTCGTTCAGGTGCCTGGCTTGGACTTCCTGGTCCGACGTGCTGGTTACAAAACATGTGTTTTAAGACTACAATTGGGCCGACATTTTAGGCCCATTGTATGTGTTTATTATCATAAATTTTGGTGAATGCCCGACCGATATATGGTCCAGCCCAAACCATTTGGGCCTTCTAGTCTAGCACACAGTTGTTTGTTAACCACATCTAACGTTTACACTTCAAATACACTCCCACAAAAGCTGCACTGAAATACAAATTAATTTTCTTTTAAAAACAATAGGGAAGTGCACAATTTAACATTTTTTTTCAATGTATGGATTATGGATGTTTTAAGAGCCCAACAGTACCATCATTGAAGAATATATATATATATATATATATATATATATAGGATTAGATATCCATTGATGAATGGGATTGGAGGGGCTTCAGTGGATCATATTTTTTAGTTCAGGTGAATTCAAAAGGTGAGTCAAACTAAAAAACAAAAAAGTGGCAAATACAGAAGAGGCATTTTGTAAGAATTCACAAAACATAAATATACACAATACCCAAAATCACTCTCTTTTTTTTTTTTTTTTTTTTTCAACACTCAATAGTAATCAGTATTTAGTGTAGTCCATGTCACAATTGTGAGCTAGCACATCTAATTGATTGAACATTCTCCAACCATCCTGGTGGGTGAATCTACCTAGCTTTTTTTTATATATATTTTATTTTTAGAAGTTAAAGTAATTCGATCACTCATGCATTCTCTTTCATTAAAGATCGAACTCGGGCTTGTCTTTAAAAAAAATAGAGGTCTGATATCGCTGGATTATTGAACTACTGACGGTTAATATTTACTTATTTTAACTTTCTCTAATACACATTTTTGTGACTAATAAGATCGAGATTGGGAGATTTTTTTGACAATGTCCTATCTATTTTTTTATTTTATTTTATTTTTTTTTTTAATTAGTAAGAAATATACTTGTACATTCACAATATCTTTATGGAACTTGAACCCTTAATGTTCTTAGGGTAAAGTACATAGAAACCCCTTGAGGTTTGGGGAAAGGTCATGCAGAGGAAAGTTAGCTAATTTTTGGACAATGACATTCAAGTTTGAAAAATAGACAAAAAGACCCTAAAGATGGTGAATTGACCTTATTACCCTTTGATATAAAATTGACATTAAATTGACTTAAATACCCTTAACCCAAACCCATCTCAAACCCTAACCCGAACACCTGTGTAAAGTACCCCTCTTCCCTTTTCTTTCTGTATCGCCGTTCGAGTCCTTTGTTCCGAAATTCAACAGCGATTCGAAGCCCTACGATCTCAGAGCTGATATGGACTACATCTTCGTTGGTTTTCTTCGCATCATCAGAATCGTGGCTGTTCGTCATCGGATAGTTTGATCATCGTCGCCGTCGTCCGGTTCGTTTCTCTTCGCCGTCGCTGGAATTGGAAGTGGAAGGTCACAGATTGCGCGCCGTCGCTGGAATTGGAAGTGGAAGGTCACAGATTGCGCCTGTGTGTGTGTGTGTGTGTGTGTGTGTGTGTGGATAGAACAAAAATGGAGGGTTAAAGATGTTAAAAGGAGAGTTTATTGGGTCTTGCATTTCACGCAGGGCTTTTCACTCGGACAATTTAGGAATTTCGTGGTTGTGGTGATGTTGATGATTTAGTGTGTGTGTGTGTGTGTGTGTGTGTGTGTGTGTGGATAGAACAAAAATGGAGGGTTAAAGATGTTAAAAGGAGAGTTTATTGGGTCTTGCATTTCACGCAGGGCTTTTCACTCGGACAATTTAGGAATTTCGTGGTTGTGGTGATGTTGATGATTTAGGGTTTCGGTGATTATGAGAGGTGAGTTGATGCGGTGAAGGGGTGGAGAAGGTTGTTTTGTATGGTGGGTGAGAAGTAGAGGTGCCGATTGTGGGTGGTAGTGGTGAAAGGGTGGAGATGGTTGTTTTGTACGATGGGTGAGCTGTGGAGGAGGTGCCGATTGTGGGTGGTGGTAGGAGGTTAGAGAGAGATAAGAGGACTGGTGGTGGTGGCGGCGGCCATGGTGGTGGTGGTGGTAGGTGGCTTCAGGTTCAATCTCAGCAACGTTGGCTGGCTTGAGTCTAAGTCCACCTTCTAGGTGGGGAGGAGAATTGTGGGCTTGGTGTCAGATTCCAGCTATAATTTGACGGTGGTAGAGCTCCGGCAAGGTTGAGGTTGGGGTAATTTGGTTATTTGAATATTTTGATATTTTATAATTAAAATAAATAAAATAGTAAAGGGTAAACTGGACTTTTCACATATTTTAAGGCTCTATTTGGGTGACAAAAATCACAAGGGGGTGTGATTATCCAAAAATAAGTCATCTTTCCTCTACATGTCCTTTTCCCAAACCTCAAAGCGTGTCAATGTATTTTACACATGTTCTTGTCGGAAAGGCGAATAAGAATTATTAAGCTACACCTTTTTGTTGCTATATGAAAATAGTGTCATATAATATATATATATATATATATATATATATATATATATATATATATTTGATATAATAAAATATTTTTGTCTCATGAGGATTCAATTTTTTATACAACTTCAAGAATCAATTGGGCATTCAAGAACTTATTAAATATTTTTTTCGTCCTAAAAAAAATATCACTTAAAAAAAATCGTAACTCTCATAAACAATTCTTCCCAAAAAAAAAAAAAAAAAAACACCCGTTTTAACGGAGAAAGCATATGTGATTTGTGGATGATGTACGTACCTGCATTGGTAAGAATTATTCTTAACGAAATGATTTATGTGTACCCTGCAAACACAAAATAATTAAGAATTGACAAGCTAATAACTGATAAGGGACACATCACAACAGAATTGATCGATGATTTGGGCTCTAGGACCCTCTCACCACCAAAATATCCCCTAATTCCACACAAAAACAAAAATTAAAATCACCACCTAAAAGACAAACCACCTGCCAACTTTCTTGATTCAATATTGAAATTTCAGTGTTACTTTAAAGTCAAATAAATCATAAGACCAAAAGTACATAAAGATTTAGCAGAGTTACAAACTCGTAGGGTCCTATTCAGCGTACGTATTCTTAACATAGCATAACCTCCTTACATAACGAGACGTAACATGTGGCTCACTTTAGAGGGTGGCCAATTACTTAGAATAGGTGCTTAGGGACCTTATTTCTCAAAAGAATCGAAACAAAGCTCCAAATTTAAATTGGTCAAAATAGTAGCCACTTGAGCAATAGAAGGCCTATTTTTCCTAAAGTTACCAACACAAGCTAAAGCAACTTTAGCCAATCTAACAAGAGGCTTCAGATCAAAAGGTATTACAAGCCTAGGGTCCAAAATTTCACTAATCTTCATTTCTTTAATCAAAGGCAATGCCCAATGGACAAGCAAACCATCTTCACTTTTCCTCCCACTCAATAGCTCCAACAAAACCACCCCAAAACCATAAACATCACATTCCTTTGAAGCAACCATTCTCTCAACCCAATATTCATCATCCACATACCCTTCAAGACCTTTCAGCTCTTGTGGCGCCAAGAAATATAGCCCATAATCACATACCTTAGCACGAAAATTCACATCTATCAATATATTCGAGGGCTTGATGCAACCATGCACTACATGAGGAACCATCACTTCATGCAAGTATTTGACACCTTCAGCCACTCCAGCTGCAATCCTCAGGCGCCGCCCCCAATCCAAAAGAGACGCCCCATCAGAGTTTTGATGCAAATAAAATTCCAGACTCTTCATGCCAACAAACTCCATTATGATGATCCTCTCACCTGGTGCTTCCGAAAACCCTAATGTGGGGACTACATGGGGGTGATGAGCTAAGGAGAGCGATTTGAGAATTGAAGAAAACCCTAAACCGGCATGGCTCAATACAATCCAAGAATGAATCCGCTTTACTGCAACTAGCTGACCACTTGTTAAAACAGCTGCGTATACAGTTCCTAAGTGACCTTTTCCAATGATTCTCCTATGGTTGAAGCCATCGGTGGCTGCATCGACATCGATTAACGAATAATGGTGTGCACAGTTCTTTGTTGAAGGATTCTCCTCGGATTCAACCGGTTTTTTCTTACAAAAGATGAAGAGGATGATCCCAAGAAGTATGAGAGATGTTGAAAGGAGGGTCGTGATGGCATGGTATGCAATTTTCTCAACATGAGTACTCATGTTGGAGATTTTTCTATTAGTTGCTTAATGGTGGTTTTGTCTAAATTTGTGACCTATTTGTATTGAGTTGTTAGAAAGGAGATTAAGAAATTAATCATTGGCCAGTCCATAAAAATCTATAGTTGAAATTGGTATATGTATGAGATGGGAAGTAGGACATGACTTAGAGAGAGAAAAAGAGTGTATCTATTGACGTAAATATGTAATCTTTGAAAGTTAGGATTGATTAAGAAAGTTGGAAATATACTTGTCACAAGGTTTAGTTATGTCATGAAGTTGGATGTTCCCAATAATTTGAAATAATAGTGTGAGATCAAAGGCTATTGAACACCATGTACCCCATTGTTTTTAACTCGTGCCCAATAATAGCAATAATTTATCAAAATTTTAAAATCTTTTTAATTAATTAATTTATTTATTTATTTATTTATTTTGTGTCTTTTAACATTACTGTTTTCTGGTTGACCTTAACGGTCATGCAAGTGGGACTCGAGATATTATATATATAAACTCGAGATATTATATTTCAATATAAATTGTACTCCGTAATATATATAAATGTATAGTTGAGATTTCTTTTTATTTTTGGTTAGGTAAAATACTCACAACCTACCCATAAAATAAGTGAGGACTAATTACCGATCATCAAATCCCAGAAGAGTACGAAAACTTAATGGCAAGACATACTCTTAGTCCTCGCACTAATGCAATGTCATCAATAATACACCAAGCATGAAATTTAGAAACAAGAGATTATGAATTAACTTAACAATATGCGTATCTAAGTATAGATATAGACTAAACAACAACAGTTTATAAATTGACTTAACATTCTGTGCATCTAAAGCGCAAGACAATGACATGGATGGAAAATTATATCCAATGCTATCGTTAGATGTGGTGATGAGATCTACTGGATAGATGATTCAACGATTGTGAGACTCGGATACGATATTCTCTAGTATTGTAGAACTTCTGAAAATGAATGTCTGCGTGCTTTCTCCACAGTAAAATAATTAATTCAGCATTTCAGCAGGCTCACAGGTGGAGTGAGAAAAAAAAAGACAGCTACGGATGGCAACATACCGGTCCAAATTGGGACTTTGGGATTTTGTTCACGTATACCATCACACACACACATATATAATATCATCCATCCATCCATTTCATCCTACGAAATTGTTATAGTTCTTAGAAATTAAAGAGGATAGAAAACGTTTATATACATATATATATATATAAACGAACAACCTACGAAATAAAAAAGAAATTAAATTATTTCATACCACCTGGAGCTTCTGAAAACCCTATTATGGGGACTGCATGGGGTTGATGAGCTATGGAGAGAAATTTGAGCCTCAAAGAAAACCCTAAAAACCGGCATGGCTCTATCCGAGAATGAATCCGCTTTACAAAACTAACTAACCACTTGATAAAACAGCTGCATATACCCTTTCCAATGATTTTCCGATGGTTGAAGCCATGGGTGGCTGCATCGAGGTCCATTAACGAATAAGGGTGTGCACATAGCTTTGTTGGAAGATTTTCCTCTAATTCAACCGGCTTTTTCTTACAAAGGATGAAGGGGATGATCACAAGAACTATTGAGAGATGTTGAAAGGAGGGTTATATATATATATATATATATATATATATATATATATATATGACGCATAGTAAGAAATTTTCTCTACATGAGCAGTACTCGTGTAACGTTGGTGGTTTTGTCTAATTTTGTGACCTATTTGTATTGAGTTGTGAGGAGGGAGATGAAGAAAATAATCATTGCCCAGTCTATAAAGTCTAGAGTTGAAATTGGTTTGTGTATGGTGGTTTTGTCTAATTTTGTGACCTATTTGTATTGAGTTGTGAGGAGGGAGATGACGAAAATAATCATTGCCCAGTCTATAAAGTCTAGAGTTGAAATTGGTTTGTGTATGAGATGGGAAGTAGGATATTAGTTGAGAGAATAAAAAGCGTGTATCTATATATTGACGTAAATGTGTAATATTTGAAAGTTAGGGTTGATTAAGAAAGTTGGAAATCTGTTACAATTTAGTTATGTCATGAAGTTGGATGCCCCCAATAATTTGAAATAATAGAAATTGTTCATGCATGTGGTCAAGGGCTATTGGATATCCCATTGTTTTTTTAAAACGTGCCCAATTACAATAAATTATCAAAAAAAATTAATCCTTTCCTTTATTTTATCTTTAGCATTTCTGTTTTGTTTTGTCGACCTTACTTTCTACTGATGCAAGTGGGACTGTAAGACTCGAATTATTATAATTCAGAAGTATATATAAATTGAAATGCACATATATATATGGGTAATAGGTTATGGATGTGTATTATATACACAAACATTTCTAAGTAGGTGATAGGTTATGGATATGGAAGTGTATTATTTGAAATTGTGGTCCAAGTTTGTTTTGACTCGGACTTGGTTATAATCTGAAAAATGAAAAAATAAATTTTACTCATTTTCTCTTGCGGTTCATGAGGCATGAAAGAACGTTAAAAGTCTTTTAAGAGAGTAAAAGAGAGTTTGGAGTTGAAATCCTCTTTTTGCATAGTGATAGATCTCTCGCTACATAAATATTTGTGTCTTGTATAATGCATGTTTATTTTTTTTCGTGTTTTTTGAAAAAAAAAAAAAATTCTCAGAAATTAGTCTTGTTTCTTGATTGTCATCTTAATTTTGTGACTTTTGTTACAACCATACACAAACATTTCTTGCATCATGCGACACAGATCCAAAGGTTCAGTAAAAACAGCACAAATCAATTAATTGTTTGATTTTTCCATGGATATTGAAATTTGCTTTGAAGCTCAGAAATCTGAATACACAAGAGCAAACATTCAAGTATTAGGAGTATGTTAGTCATTTAAATTAAAAACAAACAAACAGTAATAATAATGGCAATGCTACTGGGTCCAATCAGCCTATATGGCTGGTGAGGCTGTGGATTCCAATTTCCACCACACATGGTGGGGTTCGCACAAGTAATGTCATACAATCGATCTGGGGCTCACTCGGTTCAATTTTTTTTTTTTTTTTTTTTTTTAAAAAAAAAAAAATTTTTAAATGGATTTATCAAGCACAGTACGACTTCAAAGATTTCCCTTACCGCTTAATTTTTTTTTTTCTTTTTTTTTTGCTACTACAATCACCAGTGTTCAACAAAAACTCTCATCTATAATTATAAAGGATAAAGGTAGAGTATCTTAAAATCAACAATGAACACGTATTTCCGTCTCAATCAAGAATTTTATTGTTTCCAACCACTTATGTGCTAAAGAGTGAATATATTTCATTGGCAGTTGCAGGTGACCTAAACAGCAAAGGTTGCATTAACTCCTTACAGAGGAGAGTGTGAAGTGGACTTGTGCTTCCTTCAATAATTGGTTCAGTGATGTCTTACCTACATCTGTTATGGCTTAAATTTTGAGGATGAAACTGAAACTCAGATATGCATTTATATGGTGTGTGTGAGAGAGAGAGAGAGTGTGTGTGTGTAAGACCTTACAAATTTAAACTACTTGTGTAGTTTTGTGTTCAGTCATAGGGATGCAACTGAGCAAGTCAATGACTTGGGCTAGCAGTGTCATTAGGTTAAGCCCATAACAGAAGGCCTTTTTAATTGGGACAATGTCATATACAGGTCTACTCCTGCCTTAAAAAATTATGTTTGGGCCTCGTCACAAAATGTGTCGCACATAAAAGAAGGGTCAAAGTCACAAAATCCAAGTAACAAAGTGAAAGTGAGAACAAAACACGCAGAGAGTATGAGAACTTCACTCATTTTTTTAACATTGTGTAGCGGACACTTCAACCAATAAAACCAAAGTGTAAAGACAAGGAGGTTTTCCTAAGAGTAAGAATGGGACTTGTGTCAATTTTTCAATCATCATATCATATCAGGTCCTTTTCTAGAAGAAAACCACAACAAAAGAAAATTAAAGATAACCACTAAAACTAGTTAAGTAACATCTTTACAAAAAAATCTCTTTCAGGGTAAATAAATCATTTCCTCTTTTTCTTTTCTACCACAATCTCAAAAACCAAACAAAATTCAAATATTTTACCAGAAAATAAAGGTAATTTTCATTTTGTTTCAAGATTTTACTGTTGACGACTATAACATGGATTTGAGGAGAAAGTGTATCTATGCATGTATGTGTACATACATGCATTTTTTTTTGTGAAAATACATGTAGATCATAAAAACAGTATAAGCTTTCTGTCGGCCACTTTCTAAAATCAAGAAACAAACTAATACGAAGAATTAAATTGTCTGTTAATTCCTAGCCAAGGGTCTCTAGTTACAGTATTTTTTAGTAAATGATTTCATGCACTTCTGCAAAGAGAGGACCAGAGGCAATGGAAGCTGCTCACATAAATGAGAAGGGACCATCAAATACCAATTACCAACCCTCATTAATTCATACATAGCTGTCTTCTGCGGATTTATATATATATATATACATATAGGTATGTGGTAAATTTAGGGGGGACCAAAACCACTGTAAAAATCTCCTCCACCAGAGACTAGTCAAAGAATTTAACCTGGAGGAGTCTCAACAAATTCCTATTATTGGGACATTTCACCTCACAAAACCAGCAGCCACAATAGTAGTTGCCATTAAAGTCCCAAGGACATTGCAAGCAACCACCTGAGACATTTTTTTTTTTGAATGGTAACCACCTGAGACTTGTTTGATTAGATGGAAAATATATATATATATATCACCTTTGAGATGCTACAAAGAAATCACTATCAAGAAAGTGTATATAATAGGCTGTCAACACTGAATAAGAGGCCTTAATGCATGCTTCAAAGCTGGTTAGAAAAGAACTTTCCTTCTCTTTCTTAGGAAGAAAAACTTTGATTATCAATAAATTTACAATGCATAATAAAAACATCAAATCCATAGTAACTCTCCCTCTCTCTATTCTAGAATTCAACTTCACTTCACTTCTCTTCCTTTCCCTCATGAAATCAAACACCAGTGGTGCGATGGACGCTAGAAGTTTGCCAAACAGGGAGGGCAACTTCACTTTCACAGTTTCACTCTCCTTGAATTATACTATATATCCATTTTGATGGTGACCGGACTTGGTGCAAAACCTTTCTCAAGCTACGCTTCCATGATCAGAGGCTTCCTCGTAGTAATAAGGGGACAATTTGCCATCTTTCTTAGCAGTCTTGGGATGGTTTTCGGCACCCAATTCTTGCAACATTTTTACCACCCTCCTCATGGTGGGGCGGTTGATAGGGAGGGGGCTTGTGCAGAGGAGGCCAATGTTTAAAACTTTGCATATCTCTTCTTTGAAACAACCATCTAGCTTCGGGTCGATTATGTGGTCTATGCCTTTCTGGTCCAAAGTAGTGCACACCCACTTCACCAAGTCCTTCTCCCCGAACTCGGGATCAACTGGGAGTCTCCCTGTGACTAACTCAAGGATGACCACGCCAAAGCTGTATATGTCACTCTTCTCGTTAACTCGGAGTGTGTATGCATATTCTGCAATGTGAAAATTGAGTATAAGTACCAATTACAAATGCTAAGTATCACTTGTTTGGACTGATTACAAGAAATTAACACAATGAATCCAACAACTTTCATCTAAATTTAATTGCAAAATTAAGAGTGATCAGCAAGACATTTTTAGTTGTCAAACTAAGTAACATGATTGCTAATACAATCTATTTCAAACTCTGCATATAGTAAATATTGCTCATTAAATTTAAGTATCAGCCACAGACCAAAAATCAATGACTAGTGTAATCTATTTCAAAGTAGACATAAAAGCACTGCACATAGCAGAGTCAATATTTACCAACTGTTACAGATTAACATTTAACACCATTCAGAAATTCAATAGACTTGTGAATCAAGAACAGAACACATATGCTGACTATACTATACTGATCAATAAATACTAATGAATGAACACAACAGTCTAAATTTCAAACTAGCATGCAGGTAATATGATAAAATATTTAGGAGAACCTATTAACCATAATTAAGTATGATCACAGATCAAATCGAGATGATCAAAAAATTTGAATCACTAACCTGGTGCAATGTAACCACAAGATCCTGCAATGACCGACATCGATTTAGGCCCCTTTCCACTTGCATCAACCACCTTCGCCACCCCAAAATCCGCCACTCGAGCTCCATAATCGCCATCCAACAAGATGTTGTTCGATTTCACATCTCTGTGCACGATCGCAGGAACACAATCATGATGCAGATAAGAAAGCCCCTCAGCTGCATCAAGTGCTATCTTATACCTTGTTGGCCAGTCCAATAGCCCACTTTTGCTACTATGAAGTAAATCTCCCAAGCTTCCATTAGGCATATACTCATAAACCAAAAGCTTGCAATCCCTTGTAGTGCAACAACACCATAGCTTAACGATGTTCTTATGCCTAATCTTTCCCAATGTCCCAACCTCTGCCTCAAATCCATCATCTTGAATCTGACCCTTCTCAACATCACCACTCTCATCGGCTATTTTCGATCCTCCCCATAGCTTTTTCACCGCCACCGCCTCTCCATTGCTAAGAACAGCCTTGTAAACTTTTCCAGAAGATCCACTTCCTATCACATTATCTTCATCAAGAGAATCCAAGATCTCATATTCACTAAAACCCAATTTATGAAATGACATCAAAGTCCATTTCGATTTGTCAATAGCTTTTTTTCCCTTGAAACTCCTATACTTCCAGTAAAACCAAACAACACCCACAATAAGAACTAGCCCGGCTAGTATAAAGATAGATCGGAGTAACCACACATAACCTAAGTTCTTAGAATCGCCTCTACCATCACACAAACCAGTTATGTCACCGCACAAGCCCGGATTCCCCAAGAAGCTATTTTTATACATCTCCTTAGCAAACAAAGGAGGAATATCGCCAGAAAGGCGATTATTCGACAAATTCAGCTGATTGACCTTCAAGTTCTGCAAACTGAATGGGATTTTCCCGGAAAATCTATTCCCGGAAAGATCAAGATAATTAAGCACAGACAAGCTTCCAATTTCCTCGGGAATATTCCCGGAAAAATCGTTATCTGCAAGATTTAGCTCATTGAGCTTCTTCCAAGAACGAAGTTCACTTGGAAGCTCACCAGATAAGCCATTATTTTGAAGATCAAGCTTTCCCAACTGTCCAAGATTCATGATACTAGACGGTAACGACCCCGTTAGCCGGTTGTCACTTCCAGAAAATTCCACCAAATTCTCCAACCACCCAATTTCCTCTGGAATTTCACTGCTGAAACTGTTTTTGGAAATAATTAGAGACGACAAATTAGTCGCACTGGCAATGGTTTTACCAATTCCGCCGGAAAACGAATTGTTGACCAGCTCTAGCAAGAACACGTGTGGAAGCCCCCAAAATCCAGCCGGAACTTCGCCGGAAAAGTGGTTGTTCCCCAACCGGACACGTGTTAAACTCCGACATTCGCTCAAACTCGCCGGTATTTGACCGGAAAACGAGTTATATATCATCAGGAGCTCTTCCAATTCGCCCATTTCACACAAACTCGCCGGAATTTCTCCCGAGAAATTGTTGCTCGATACATCAACCCACATTAATGGCGACACTTTGCCAAGATCCTTTGGCAAAACCCCACTGAGACGATTTCCGAATATACGTAATTCGTATAGATTCGGCGATTTCGTGATACTCTCTGGCAAGTCACCTTCGAGTTGATTCTCATACAGATTCAGCGATTCGAGAGGTAGAGAACACAACTCGTCCGGAATCGTCCCGTTCAACTCGTTCATCGATGCATCGAGTAATCGCAATGCGGTCAACTTGGACCATCCCGCCGCCGGTAACTCGCCGGATAACGAGTTGTTGTAGAGCTCTATCTGAACAACGCTCGACAACTCAGTGAGCGAACTAGGAATCGGACCGTTGAGGTTGTTGAGCGCCAAGTCCAAATCAATGAGTCGCTGGAGTCGACCCAACGAGGCAGGGATCGAGCCTATTAGGTTACAGCCAGTGAGCCACAAGATCTCGAGGTTCGTCAGATTCCCGAGCTCCGGCGGGATCCGACTCGGCGAAAATGGGTTGTACGAGAGGTTGAGCTGTTTCAGAGTCGAAATATTCCCCAAAAACCCCGGAATGACCCCGTCGAAAAGGTTCTCAACAAGAGAAATAACCTCGAGTCGCCGGAAACTCCCAAAAGTAACCGGAATGTCGCCGGAGAAATTGTTTCCAGTCAAATCGAGGTGCTTGAGATTTGGGAGGTCGGCTATGGCGTCCGGTAGTGTTCCGGTAAGGAGGTTCTGGGCGAGGTTGAGGTGCTCGAGATTCTGACAAGTGGAGAGATCGGAGGGGAGGGTTGAGTTGATGGAGTTGTTGTAGAGAGAGATGAAAGTGAGGCTGCGAAGGCGACAGAGGAGAGAAGGGAAGGGACCGGCGATGTTGGCGTTGGAGAGGTCGACTGAGTTGACGGAGCCGGTGGCCGAGTCGCAGGTGACACCGTACCAGTGACATGGCGAGTCGTCTCGGTCGTTCCAGTTGGATAAGACACCGTCTGGGTCGTCGAAGCCTAGCTTGACTCGCTGGAGATAGAGACCCTCTTGGTTGAGAGAGAGAGCGATTGGTGGAGACAGAAAGAAAAAAAGTAAGAGAAGCAGCATCCTTGCTTGGCTTCTAGAAAGAGAGGGAAGAAATGAGCTTCTTCTAGTTCTAGTTCTAGATACTACTCCGTTTACTGTCCAAAGACCAAACAGGGATTATAAGATAGGATAGGATATGGGAGTCTTACCAGCTTACCAAAATTAAAAATAGTAGTACATTGTATATATAGACATCTCTATCACTAAGGTTGTTTGTTTTTTTTTTTTACACGAGTACACACAACATGAGTAGGCGTGTGTCTAGTACTGTAGATGTTGGGTTCTTGCCAAAAATTAAAATACTGTAGTTGAGTTAAGCTCTTTTGGAACACACTTGTTTTAAGCATGTAACATAATAATATTTCACACTTATTTTAGGTATGTAACATAAGTACTTGTTTTAAAAAGTAATTCTTCTGTGAGAAAAATCTCATGACAGTTTGTTATGAGATTTTTTTTAATTTAGTACATTTCGAAAGAAAAAAAATACACAAATTACATCCTCCACCAATAAAGATGGTCAATATTAAATTCATTTTGCTGTGAAAAATCAGCTCAAATAATTATAAAATAAAATTATATGAAATAGTTAAAGATAATAATTTAAGTTGATTAAATGAAGTCAAAAAAATATAAGAATTTGATTGATTTGTGTGTTTAGGAAATTTGATTTCATAATATTCATCACACATGATTATTACAAAAAATAAAGAGTTGATGTCAATTTTCATAAGGTCAACTTCATGATAGCATTATTCTATTTTAAAAATATGAAGCAATATCACTAAGTTCATAAGCCGGTTAGTATAATTTCTTATCTCTGTACCAATTCTCAAACTTTTGGAAGCCCTCTGTCAACCGAATATTTCACATAAAGTCAACAAGGAATTTCATTAACAGTTAGGTTAACCACACAAACTAACTCTTAAACCAAAGAGGCCATGAGAGGGATAATATATCGGGTGTGGTGGCACCGGGCAATCATAACAGTTCATTTTTTATAATACGGGCGATTCTGATATACTTGGTACATGATGCATGAGCACACCAAATATCTTTTTCATAAGAGGATCCATAGTTAATATAATAATAATTACTTATCTCTCAAAACAAGGACCGAGAAGTTTCTCGTACTTAGAATGTGTTTAGCATAATTAAATAAAAATTAAAAAAATAAAATTGCAATAAAATTCACATATACTACGCTTAATTCAAACATGTAACTCAAATAAATCAAAATTGTAACACAATTCATACAGATGCAATACAATTATTTCATTCACCTATAAATTGTGTTACATACTCAAAATAACTATATAATTACATTGGAAAAAATAATAATAATAACTATGTTACATTCATTTACAGGGGAATGCAATACAACACAAAGCGAATATAGAGCAGGATGAAGTTTGGGACAGAAGAGGGCAAAGTGGAAGGAGGGGGTGATGATTATCGGATCTCGAGGTGATTTAAATCATAGGGTTGAGGATTGAGAATACACCTTGCATTTTGTGCGTGGTGGGTCGGGAACAGGGAGGGCGTGAAAGATCAGAAAAAGAGAAGGGTATAAGATTAGTGACAGATAGATATAGGATATAGATATATACAGTACTAGATATATACACTGGCGCACACGCATTGGTGAGTGCTGCAGCCGACAATTCTGTTTTTCCTGAACTTTGCGACTGCGACAACACCATCCTTCCATACGTTGAGAAGATAAACTATTTAATTTTGATTTTAATGAGGACAAACACCAAACAAAACTAACTCTTTTTCCAATTTTGATTTCCACCACGCGCCCTCTCAACTTCTCATTTATATACTCTATTTTGAAAATATTTGTATGACATTCTATTCAATTAATTTTTCTATTGTTTTTTTTTTATGAATACTAATTTTTATTCTATTTACGAGAATTTAATGTTTTTCACTTTCAAATCAATGCAATGATCAAAGCATTAATCATACCGTCCAAAACTTTTCTCTTGTAATTAAACATTGTTTAGTGATGTGAGAGAGTAAAATTTAAAAATACAGGTGGAATATTTAACATTTTTGTATCTAGTAGCTTCAGTAAAAGGATAAAGCTATTACCATTACACTCAAAATCCTTATCTAGTTTTATTTTCAGATTTCATTAATACCTCAGTATTAACTTCACAAAATGTTCTTTCACTATTTTGCCCAAATAAAAATGAATCGTGATGCATTCAATGAAATAAAAAAAGTTGAATTTTAATGCAAATTTATTGTGGACTGTTTGATACAATCATGTGAGGTCAATTTTGTATTTTTTTCTTTTTTTTCTTGACAAATTAATTAGGGCGAGGAGAACTTAAACACAAACACGCCCATTTGAAGATTTGAATGTTCTACCAACTAGGACACTAGATAATACCCCAGCCTTTTAATATTAATGCATGTGCCCTCTTAAAATTCTAAACAAACTATCCCTTAATTAAAAATAAAAAATATATTGTTTAAGAAAAATAGCATTTTCCTTACAAAACCGGCCTTGCCAATAAGCCGCAGTTGGGGTGATTTGATTTTGTCGAGCATTGTAGCATAGTTCATTATCAAAAGATGGTTTAAAATGATAAATCATTTTATTCAAAAATAGAATAGCATTTTGAGACATCACGGCATAGAAAGGTGGAGTATTATGCAAGTATTTATTAAATATGAACAAATAAATTTATTATTTTCAAATGTCTCAAAACGAAAAGTTGAATAATTATGGCATTTTTAAGGGAGTACTACTATGCAAGGGTTTTAAAAAAGATGGACAAACAAATCAAACCAATCTAAATGCAAAGTGAAATAAGAATTTTGTTCTTCTACCTTTAATAATTGTCACACATGATTTGTATTTTGTCAAACAAAACAAACCAAGCTAAATTGGTATTTGTTTAAAGAAAAAATTGAAAGTTGTTTATCATCCTTACCAAATAAATAAATAAATAAATAAATATATATATATATATATATATATATATAATATTTGTGTTGAAGATCGAATTGAAAGTTGTTTGACATCCTTAGGCAAAAAAAGAAATGTTTAACATTCACTGTTCCCAAGCAAAATTGTCCGTAGTTATACCATATTGTAGTACATGTGAATTACCTTATCTTAAAATAAAATCATACAATATCTCTTGATAAGGACGTGAGTCCATAATTAAGGGGAGGGCAATTATCTTCAATAAGGTTAAATTCGGAAAAGTAAAATTGTATCAAAATTTCAAATAGAAGTACTCGTATTTGAATTGGAGTACTTCTACAATGGACCTCTTGAGACTTATTAAGCTGTGGAATTCTTCCCAAGCCGTACACGTGGCAAATCAAGTGATAGATTCGATGTGTTTGGCGTTTTGTCGTTTCCTTGATGGGACTTGTGCATAATGCCAAAGAAAACAGTGACCTCCCAACCATCCGATCAAATCTACGTTCAGGATCCTGACTCAGATGGTCGGTCCATTGCATTGTCGCGGATTGGAAATCTCAAACCCAACAATCTTGTAATTTTAGAGAGAGAAAACAAGGTTGGTATAGAGAGAGAAATACATATGAATAATTGCATGTGCTGTAGAGTGAATAGTGAGAATGTGAGTATGATGCAGAGAGAGAATGAGGACAACGAAATTAAAAAATAGTAACAAAAGGAGGTATGTGCATAACCAAACAAGTCAAAGAAAACAGTAGTAAAAGCTGTCACATTATTCCAAAATTTCCTTTTTCCCACACTTTCTCGATGATTTCAATCCCCATTAATCCACGGGATTCTATTTCCCCGCAAAATTTTTGAATGCGAGTATGGTGATGCAGAAGAGTTAAATTTTTGTTGTGTTCGGGGTCTCATAGGTCACGTTTGGTTTCCGCAGTAGCACAAGCTATCACAATTTCGGTAAATAAGGTAAGAACATAGCCGTGGCAAACAAAGCCTAATAGTGAATTGTTGAAGCTCGTGATAAAGAAAATATTAGTTTTTATTTATTTATTTATTTTATGAATCAAAATCAAATTATTTAGAGTTTTTTTGCTTTTAGCCTCATAATTTTCCTAAGAAAGTAGGCAAAAAAGATCATTTCTATGGGTGAATATAATATTCCGTTGGAATATGAGTGGAACTTTCCAATGCATTGGTTTGGGTCTTTAGAAGTCATGGACCTCACAAGTGGCATAATTTTTCAATTTTGGAGGCCGATATATCTTTTTTCTTTATTTTTCTCTCTTTTTTTATTTATTTATTTTTACTTTATTTTGTTTAATCAGCTGTAGAGCTCTATTTTATATTGGGAAAGACATATATGGTAAATATTGTAACAATATGTTGCCATGGAGTCTCACATTATAAGAAATTCGTGCTATTAGAAATTTAGAATGTAGAATGTATCAAATACGGAATATTTAGTGTCAACTAAATGTCCAAAATATATTAGAGAAGTGTTTATTTAATATTTGGTAAACTAATTATAAATTTATTTTTTTAACCTTACCATCTTTATTTAAACGATTCATTAAATATTAATAATTTAAGATCATTTAATAATTTTTTTATTTTTATTTCTATTTAAAGATCTCATGCTTGTTTTCTAGCACGGGGATGGCCAAGATTGGGAATTGTATTTTGCACCATGTTTAAGTGGGTCCAAAGTAAATTTAAGCATTCAATAAATAGGGTGTTGCACAAATCAGTTCATTTCCATGTGGATTGTTTGTTTCACACTTTAAGGTGATTATTCGCATCATTGGACCCCACCAAAAATTGGGCTACCCATGCGTGATATCCCATTATCCCCCTCGTACAGATGGTGGAGATCATGCCAAACCAATACTCCATTCAAATTAAAAATTCATTATGTATTTGAATGAATCGGTCAAATATTAACAACCGTGAAGTCAAAATATTTCAAAGATTGTCCAACACTTCTTTTTGGAGCCCATTTCCCCCACTTTTGCTTTAAGGTTGCCAGCACACCCCATACGGCTTTGTCCATGTCACACTTGAATTGAGTTGGGTTACTATACTATGCCAACGCACTTTGTCCGGTTTATCATGATCTCTCCTTATCAAAGCAATCCAGGCGTCTGACTCATATCATCAGATCAAACGTTCCCAATAAAGCAACTCAATCAAAAGATTCCAAATATATGCAATT